GATTAGAATTACAGAATTAACATGATTCAATACTCTCACATTGAAAAAGCAGGCTGAAGTGGATCATACCAAATCATACCAAAGGCAATATTTTATGTTCCAGGATTAGAATTACAGAATTAACATGATTCAATACTCTCACATTGAAAAAGCAGGCTGATTTCAAATGAATTCCAATAAAGACCACAAGCCAATCCAGTGCCAACTGTCTCTATGAACTCAATAAATGATGATGTACAACAGTCTCTCTAGACTCCATAATTGTTGAAACAGCACCAGTCTCTAAGGATTCAAAAAGTGTTGATGAAGAGACAACATGCATCCAAGGCTGTATAGATGTTTCCGGATCTTCTTCACAGTCGCAATTATATCACAGTCTTCCAATCAGAACCAATACTCAAATAAATTAACTTACTAGCAGTAACATGCCATCAATAGTTTATTAAGGAGGAAAGTTGTACAAAGAGACTTGGTGTTGGGCAGAAAACAGTTGGTTTAGCATGATATTGGGCCAGCATAAGAACCTTGCTAGATCAGAGCTGTAGTCGATCTAGTTCAGCATCTTGTCTCACACAGTAGCCAATCAGTTCCTCTGGAGGTCCAGCAACAGGGCATAGAGGCTGAGGCCTTCACTTGATGTTGCCTCCTGGCACTGGGATCCAGAGATTTACTGCCTTTGAATGTGGAGATTCCCTGTAGTCACCATGGGTAGTAGCCATGCCATGTGGAGACTTTAAAAGCACTCCACATGGCAACCTCCACTTGTATTCAGCCTGATTTTCAATGGGAGAGTACTGAATCATGTTAATTCTATAATTCTAACACGGGAACATTAAAAAGGCCTTTAGTATGATCTTGTAATCTGTTTATTATTGAATAGTAAGTCTCTTTAAAACATAGACATAATTGGTTTAATTATACACAGTATTTTACAGTTTTGTCAATCTCATACACTGTGCTTTTCCCTTGTTTTGGCTGATGAAATAATCATGGCATCAATATTTAACCTTTTTGAGCTGAAAAAGTATTGATTTGGAAGGAATCGGAGATTATTCTTCCTTTAACAGTATTACATTGCATGCTCTTTCTTCTATAAATAAGGATATCCTCTAATGAACCAGTAACTTTTGTGAGAATACCTATTTGTGTGTTGCATTAATTCATGAAACAGCATTCTGAAGAACTTGACAGCATCTCCTCTAACTTGTTAAGCAAAGTGATAGCAACATGAAAATGTACAAAAATCAAAAGACTATTTTTGAAGTGCAATATGATTTGGTCAAAGAAGATGGTTACGGGGTGGTGTATGCTGAAATATAACTTGTGCTTTGTGTTGCACAAACAGAAACAGGACAGTATTCCTTGTCCTGTGTGTTGCACAGGACAGTATATGGTCATGTTGACAGTGCAAGGGTTACTTGCAATGACTTTCTTGCATTCATTTGTGCAAGAATTCTTGCATGAGCAGAAATGTTCCACAGGATTCAGCCCAACAGAAATATTTTAAAAACTAATCATCAGCAGATTGTTCTTTCCATCCAGCTACATTCCAAGGTAACACTTTATGTGGAGAAAAAGATTGCTGCTGATCAAATTCTACTATTTCCATGAAATCTGCCTCTATCCCATAGTTGCACCTCCATTTACAATTGCTGCTATGCACACACAGTTGCCCAGGCATCCCTTTAGAGGGAGATTCCATTTCGTAGAGATTCACATATCTAGAACCTATTCAGTCCTCTGATGTTAACTGTTTTTGTGTTGGCTCTATGTTTATATCTTCAGATACCAAGGTAACTAATGTCTTCAAGACCATTAGTTTGGTCCTTAACTAAACTACCTGATAAAACTGATTTTTAATAAAGTTCTTCATAAAATCCTTAGAAAGAGATGTAATACTTCATTAACACTAATTGACAATGGCCTTTTGTTCCATTTATGAAGGAGCAGAGTAGGAGGACAAATCTTCTTCCTCAGATTTCAATGAATTATTGAAGTCGCCAGCTTTACTGACTGCTTCACATTAATATCCTTAGTAAATTTAAAACAACATGTGGACTCTAACAATAGATTAATTCCAAACTGATTAGATCCAGAAGCTTTTAGCCACATGCTTTGGTTCCTAGGTTTTTGGAACATGTACTCAAAATACTTTTCTTGAGAACTGCCAGTTCTTTCAATGTATCAATCAATGCTCCTGAAGCAATTAGTCTATATTTATATAATTCTTGTTGATTCCTGAAAATAAACATCTGTATCCTTGGACTTTTAAAAGTTAATGTACAACTCAGAAACAGAATTCCAACTTGGGACTGTGTCAATTTCAATTACAGCAGTTTTGTTCAGTGGTAGCTATATATATAGTCAGTCTACTTCCTTGACTTTTGAAGTTAGATATGTTGTAATAACTATGGTAACTTCAGTGTGTGGACTGCTATCAGGATTCCCCACTGAGTACACACAGAGGTTTAAGATACAATGGTGTAACAGGGACCATTCTAGTGTTCAACAGCCAGAAGAACTGTAGTGATGGAAACTGTAAGGTTTTGTGCATGTACATATTTGGAAGTACTCATGCATTTTGTGTTACAGATCACCCACTGCTCTGAGATTTTCTTCATGGTTCATACAAAGTGATTTGTCCAGTATAAGTTTGGCAATATAAGCCTGACATTCTATTGTTGCTAGGGTAAGAACAAGGCTGATGTATTCATCTTGGTATATGCAGCAATGAGCATGAACACAAGATTACACATACATTATACTAAACCACCTTCACAAAAACTCTGAAGCTTTTAGGTTAGGCACACAAACTCTTATTTGATTTACAAACTCAGCAGGCAGGAGGTTAGCAGTAATGGAGATTTCTACATGTTCTCAATGGTTCATGAAGAATGCATGGGAATAATTTGCTTCCAGTTTACTGTGGGAACAAAAGTAGCTCAGCTCTCTAGGGAGCAGAACAAGATACCAAGCCAAAGAACACAGAAATACAAAAAATACAGAGCATTTTCACTGGTTAGTACTAATGGAGCTGCGGTGGCTCAAGTGGTTAAGACGCTGAACTGCAGGCTGTAGAAGGTCAGTAGTTCAGCAGTGTGAGACCCGGGTGCCGCATGATGGAGTGAGCTCCCGTCTCTAGTTCCAGCTCCTGCCAACCTAGCAGTTCGAAAGCAAGAAATTGCAAGTAGATAAATAGGTACCACTTCGGTGGGAAGGTAACAGCATTCCGTGCGCCTTGGTGTTTAGTCATGCTGGCCACATGACCATGGAAACGTCTTTGGAGAGCGCTGGCTCTTCGGCTTTGAAATGGAGATGAGCACCGCAACCCTAGAGTCGGATTCGACTGGCTTTCAAGCAAGGGAACCTTTACCTTTACCTTACCAATGGGTAGCCATTCTGTTAACATGTTTTGTAGCCATGGAGAAGGGAAGTTGTACAAAGGGACTTAGCATTGGGCAGAAAACAGTTGGTATAGGATGATATTGGGCCAGCTTAAGAACCCTGCTGGATCAGAGCAGTGGTCCATCTAGTTTAGCATCCTGTCTCACACAGTAGCCAACCAGTTCCTCTGGAGGTCCAGCAGCAGGGCACAGAGACTGAGGCCTTCGCTGGATGTTGCCTCCTGGCACTGGGATTTAGAGGTTTATTGCCTCTGAATGTGAAGGTTCCCTTTAGTCACCATGGCTGGTAGCCATTCCACATGGAGACTTCTTTAAAAGCACTCCATGTGGCAACCTCCACTTGGATACTTTTTTGGGGAGGAGTAGTAGTGCTTTACATGGCTGGGGTCTTTTTCTCCAGTTTCTTCAGCCATTATCTGGACGTTTGTGCTGAGAATATTCCTGGGTGGCAAGCTACTCTACAGGAATTGCTTACCATGTTATAACAGCCACCATATAGAACAATTTAAGGCAGCCTTCACAGGGCAGTTTAACTTGCAGATTTAAGCATTCTGCCAAGACACCAAATTACCTAGCAAAGTAGCTAAACATTTCGGCAGTTGACAGAACAGCAGGTCTGCTGGCTTCAGGACCACAACACGATTGCTGCCAGGAAGAAGCATTATCTCTAATGTTACTGAAGTGACCAATTTAGTTATGGGCAACCTTTAAGGCAGAATCCATTCCTACGCTTGCAAGTCAGAACAATCCGTTCTATAATTTATCTGAGACTATCACGGGAAGAGAGTGCTTGTTTATAGGAGTGCCTTAGATGCCTACAGCTATGCTTCACTATGAAGAGAAAGTAAACAGAACCAAATTCCTCTACGCAGTTTCTTTCAGGGACTTCTGAATACCTTTCCTTTCATCCTATTTACAGCATAACCCTTTCCATTTTGAAATTTTTTTTTGTACTTGGACCCCTATGAAGAAAATATTCTGCATTCATGCAGCTTTAGAATCTAAGTCCTCACTGAATATTATGAGGAGTTTGTCTCAATATTAAACTTTGGTCCAGAGACAGAAATTGCTGTTTAGCAGTTAAGGCTTTCACTCAGTATTTTGCATAGACTACACCTCTAAAAACAATAAGCACAAACAACTGGGCATAACACACCTTAATGGCATTCCTACCAACCTTCAGGTAGAGGTGAACTGATCCTGCATGCACCTAACCCTAAAATTAGTCTGTCAAAAACGTGACCGAGATTAGAACAACCATACCATAGGCTTTAAATATGTTTATTAATACTGGTCTCAAAGCCTGGGTTGTAGGAAAGGATGGGGGCAAGAAAGCTACGCTAACATTTTTTGTTACGCTCTCCCCAAAATACTCTTGTTTAGAATAATTGCCTAGTTAGTCTTTCACATAAGAATGCATGGCTGAACTAAGCCTAATTAATCAAAATAAATCTCACTGCGCAAAAAATCTGAAATTAAAAGTAGTTGGTGAGATATGTATTCATTAAGCAGCAAGAATTATAAACACACTAAAGCTGCAGATAGAATAAAAACACTACCAGCCATTATAATGCAACATCCAAGAAGACAACATACCTGTGACATGGTTGCAGCACTCACACAAACAGATCTAGTAGTCCCCTTAGTTAATATCCAAACTCTGAGGTAGCTTGCAGAGTCTTATATAGATTCATGAGAGGTCATTATAACAGGTCATCTTTCCCAATCCAGTTCCTGAAGTGTATTGGGTTGACACAGCCTTGTTGCTGAGAGGTTTATTCTTAGCAGTGACAGAAGTCTGTAGCATTTGCTAAGCTGGATAACTGGAGCTAGAAGAACCACACAAGTGACAAGAGAAGACAGCTGGCCAGTAGAACGATGCAGAAGTCTTGTCCTCTCTGCTTGAACAAGTACTTGTTCCAAGGGAACCCTCAGAGGCTCTATTTATAGCTTTACAGAGCAAATGCTTTGTTGCAGATGCTCCCTTTAGGTTACATTTATACATCTGCAGATGGTCATTCCCATAGAAATGAGCTGGGCAGAACTAGATACCAAAAGATAAACAGGTCTCTCAACTCATCTGCATAATACTCATGTAGGGGTGGGGGCACACACGGGAGAATCAGTGGGCAGGAGAGGATACTTAATGTCTGTCCATCTGAATCTTCCCTGCAGATCCCCTCTGGGGGCACTTCCTGCAGCTGGGCTCCAAAACTGGAAGTATGCCTGTCTGAGGTAAATACAGTCAGGGCATCTGCTATCTGCAGGACAGAATTAGCTGGTACAGGAGGGTAAGCACTTGTCTTCCAATTGTCTCCTGTTTTTAACAACTGTGGTTCTGGGGACATGATTTTACCATGATGCCATCTAGTGTGGCTTTCATTTCCAAATTAAACTGCTTATTGCCAGGGTGTTAGTCATATATAAGACACAAGGGCTTCTATTAGTGTGAACCAAACTGGCACTACAGGCATATCAGAATTCTATGATTTTGAATTTCAGCTCTATTTGTTTCTCAAAATAAAACAATCAATTTGTTCTTATCCAACAGGGTCTTATTTGTTCTTGTCCAAGGAAGTGTTTTATTTGTTCTTACAGGGTGAAGAAACACAACTTTCAAACCATCTTGCCCTCAGATTGGTCTTGGAAATGGATTTTCAGAGGCACACTCGAGTCAAAGGAATAGGATTATCCAAATAAATCAGAACAATTTTAGTGTTCGCACCTCAAAAAGGATGTTGATTGTGCTGCCTCCCCACTTTTTGCTTTTGAAAAACTGTAGGATGTGGCACAGGGGGAGTAGCAGAATTCCCCTCCTTGCATGAGTGGGAACTTTGGAACTCCCTCCCTAAGGAGATTTGTCTGCCAACTTCTATTGTCTGCCAGCAAGTGAAGACTTTTTGTTTGGTTTGGTTGTGTTCCTGGGTGTTCTTATGTCTGTACGCTTTTGTCAAATTGTTTAGATATTTTATATATATACCAGGGCTATTTTTGGGCAGGAACGCACAGGAACGGAGTTCCGGCTGGCTCCCAAGTTGGCCACACCCAGCAGGAACTCATTAGCATAATAGGTCACACCCAACATCAGAAACTCATTAGGATTGGCTACATTAGGGGTGTGTGGCCTAACATGCAAAGGAGTTCCTGCTACAAAAAAAGCCCTGGGTTTTGACAACAAACAAGGTAAACAGAATAAGAAGGAAAAGGTGGGTGTGGCTGGATGACCACACTTCTGGTAACATGGGGTGTAGCCTAATATGCTAATGAGATGTGATGTCAGGGTGTGGCCTATTATGCTAATGAGTTCCTGCTGTTGGGTGTGGCCTATTATGCTAATGAGTTCCTGCTGGGCTTTTTCTACAAAAAGAGCCTTGTTATACCTTGAGTGCTGCTTAATGTTTTAAATGTTTTGATGTTCTCCACTTTGGAGATGCTGTTTGGGTGGAAAGGCAGCACATAAATGTTTAAAATAAAAAATACACACCTTTGCTCATAGAAGGGTCCAAGTCAAGGGCTGTGAATGAATGATGGATTTTTAGAAAGCTGCACTTCTAAAGCTTCTTTTACCTTTTGAAAATACTGTCATTTGTTCAACGTATTTTATCCCACCCTTCTTCCATAAAGCTCAGGGTGCCATACAAAGCTATTATTGCAATTTTATCCCCCCCCAAATCCTATGAGGTATGTCAGACTGAGTCTGTGTGACTGACCCAAGGTTACCTATCGAACTCCATGGAACTCCCAGGTCTCCAAGGTGCTAGTCCAACACTCTTCTTGTAATTAAAAACATTCTCTATTACAGTATCCAATTACCCTTTGTAGTGAAATGGACTAAATTCTACTGTTAGCTGGGAAGTAACCTGTATCAGGCGTTCTCTGGTCTAGTTAGTTTCACTACAGGACATAATATTTTTTCTCCACAGTGAGGCACTTATTCCCCAGTAAATATCAGTGCTACCAGTGCTGGATCAAGGACAGGGCAGTACTAAGGCAGCCCCCCCCCCAGTTGATCTTTAGAAATCAAATGAAGTTTGGTAAATAATTTAAAATATACTTTAGTTAGAACCACCATTGAGACTTCAAGATCTACTTGATTCTGTTATCTGTTAACTGTGCAGAATCACAACACTAAAAATTATGCCTTTGTGAAGTAGCCAGCCACACCTCTTGGCAAGCCATTTTTGAAACTAAGGGGACCTTCCAAAGCGGACTGTGATACAACAATATTATGTGTGTGTGTCCAATTTTTTAAGAAAGTTAAACACCACATAGAGCATACCCTACACAGAGCATACCCATATTTTGTGTTTTGTTTACGGTAGCTCTTTCAGCCCCAGAAATGATCTTGTGGGTCTCTAAACAAACAGTATTTCATACTTAAGCACAAGCAAGACCAAACACAAAAGCAGCAGCACAAATCTCAAATTTTCAGTCACTTCAGGAGGTATCCTTCCTATTACACCAGTGATCAGTTGTGTAAGTTAGTTGCTTTAAGGTTTATAAATCCAGCAGTTGATGACAAAGTTAGTAATACCTAGGTTGATGATGACACTGCAAAGAGAAAAGAGGTCTGCTTTTTCCATTTGTGCCTAAGGAAGAAATGAAGCTGCAGACTCTATAAAATTTGAGTAAGCTATAAAATAGCCTGGGTTTTGTTCTGTTTTACACTTTATCCACATGCTCATTCTGTGTCAGGAACAAAATGTTGTATACCCCAAAGCAAAAACAAAACCCAGTCCAGTATGTCTGCTTGACATATACATTATGGTGGCCCTTCCTGGATATACATAATTTCATTTTTTATAAGTGTCCACCAGCAATTGAACTCATCCTAACTATAGCTAATATATGGGTCATGTGCTGAATACAAGAAGTGACAAATTTGTATGAAGTCAAAACTTTATTGTAAACCATTATTTAAATACATCACAACCTTCCATTTTAATTCAACACCATGTGTTAAACAATATGATCCAGAGGGCATCATGGTTCACATCTTTAACCTCACGGAGCATATTTCACCCTTATTTTTGAGCCCCACACTTCTCATTTGAAATAAACAAAAACCCTTATTTATAAAGACAATCCCTTTCTTTAAAAAACAAGATACTGCAGTTTTACTTTGTAAAACCATAGTACTTTACGGTCATTTAACTGGAAACTTTAAAAGACTGGATGTATTGCAAGTCTCCTACGATCCGATGTGGCTGGATGTGTGAGTGTGTGTTCACTACCACTTTTGCACAGACACTGCAACTCTGGGATTAGCCATGCACAAGGGGCACAGATGCCCAACTTTCCAAACAGAGAAGGTTAAGCCCGAACACCCCCCTGTCCCCCTCCCTCCCAGAAAGGCATAGATAAAAAAATTAATACAAAGCGCATGCCTTTAAGGGAATGTATACAGAACACTTTGCATTGTTCTAGTTCAGTTCATAAGTCAACGAGTATGAGGTCTTTTCCCTGAAGAGAAGCTTGTAACATAATTTGTTAACAACATTAAGATAAAGCATTTCACTTAAAGACAGTCGAGGAGACTTTAGTACGTTAAAGCCAGAAAATGAAGACTGCATAATGACCACAGGATTTCTAAAATAATCATGATGGGCACTTGTCATGTTCAGTCAGTGAGGCAAAGCCACAGCTATTTGATTTCAGTGTCTCATCTATTTGGCAAGGAAAGCTACTACTTTCAAACTCAGCAGTGTACTGTATAGCTATTTTGAGAGCAGAATGGAATAGAAATTAGTCACCTTTTTTTAAAAAAAAATGCACACTGAAGTACACTTCTATGTGATGAGCTTTTTACATACCTAGCAGCTTGAGCAATCAAATGACTGCAACATTTGGGGGGCAAATTTATACCTTGCCTAATTTGTCATATTCCAAAAACTGTCATGATGTTAACTCACTGAAGAATAAGCCAATACACTCTCATCTTTTTAAACACAAGACAAAATGAAGCACTAAGTATTTGTAACACTTTTAGAATGCAGGAAAACGTCAATTTTTCAGATTACATTTCTGTATTTTTTTGGAAAGGGGCCAGACACAATTTAATAAATCCAACAGTTTACTAGAAAGTTGACACAAAAATGACATGTAATCCATTTTATAATTTTTTTTACACAGTACATAAGGTGGTGATAGCCATGGGCTTAGATGGCTTTTTTTAAAAATGAGATCAGTTCCTGCAGAATATGTCTATTATTAATGGCTATAAGGATATTTATATAGGACCTCCATGTACAGACACAGTGTAGTTCCAGCACAGTATAATTCTGACACTGTGGACATAACAGAATTGGCCATCCTTTTCATGCCCTGCTTAATGGAGCACAGTATGTCAGACTGCAGCAAGAAAGGAAATCAGGTGAAGATGAATTTTTCTCCGATAGCACAAGGCTGCCAGGAGGAGGAAGAGGACTCCAAGTTCCTTCACCTCACCGCAGACCCATGTATTGTGGCATATTTTGATCATAAGGGTCCCACAGTCCTCAGAGTATAAGTCTGGAGAGGCAGTTAGGAAAATAGAGAGGGGGGGGAGGCTCAGAGAAAGCTACACTACATGAAATTCACTAAGTTTTATTTTTATTCATTAAGTACACAATGGCTAAATTTGTGGGTCTGAATATTTTTAAATTTGTGATTTTGGCAACTGGTGCTTTATTTTGTCTTGATGTTTTACACCCAGAACAAATGCCCTTCTGACATTGAATCAACTTGATGAAAGCAAAAGAGTGTATCTTTTTAAAAAAATAACGTCCCTAAAACCTTGAATTAAGCTGCTGGAGAGCACCCGGTGCTATTCCATACAATAGTCTATGAAAATAATTATAACACAATTAAGGCTTTGGGTTTTTTTAAGCAACACCCTTCCCCACACATACACTGTTCTAAGACTAAAAACAGATATTTTACATAACAGAAACAGTGGAAAAAATTAATTAAATAAGCTTTTGGATTCAACCAGTTATGTGCTAAGAATAGCAGGCATTTATCTGTACCTTCACTACCACAAAGTCAGTCCCACCCCCAATTGTAGCCTGTTATACCCTTGAACAAATGTTTGTTAGCGTCTTCCTGACTTTCCAAAATTGCATCAACCATTCCTACATACTGAAAAGAATCTCACAAAGGTGTGACAGAACCTGCTTTAGTGTACAATACTTGACAGAGCTGTAATTCATACATTCAAATATTCTGTGAAAATGTAACAATAATAAGTTAGGGGGCAACATTGATCAGGGACGCCCCCCCCCACAACAGAGGCTTTACCTGGTTTCAGTTAAACAAACATGGGTCCTCTCCCTTTTTTTTTTTAACCTGAACACCGACAAGTAACAACATATTTTAAGAATATTGCAGAACAAAGTAACACCAGCCAGTACATAGCTCTGAAATGTAACACCCAGTATAGAGTCTCACATGGGCAGTAAGATAAGTGAGGCCAATGTTGCCAATGCTATATTAGACGAGCATAAAGGGAGCACCTTGGTGCTTATCTCCTAAGGCCCAACTGCCCCCAACACCAGCATCCAGTGTAACTTACCATGTTTAAGACCAACTACACATAAAAACGGTAAAAAAATTGTTATCTCTGAAACATTTGGAACTTTTGTCAGTGAATGTATTTTAAGGCTTGAAATACAGTCTGATACCCAGATACCATAAGTTACAGATGTGCTCCCCTCATTGTTTCAAAACCACTTTTGCTGTTTTATGCCATGTCAGATTTAAACGAGCATGGAAAACTGTCAGATGGTAACTGGCTTCAAAATATAATGCAGTCACTTAAAGTTGGGTGCGCAAGGATCCCAATGAAAGACATTTTCAATAACCTTTGGACAGCTGAAATCGGCAGGTTAATGTAATCATTCCAATGTACCTCTGCTTTACTTCCAACTTAAAAGGGGAATCAGCCAGAGATGAAGTTAGTTTCCTCTTGAGGAAACTGAGGAATGAACAGTGGTGATTTTTAGTGTACTTTGATAGTAGACAACTAAATCATACTGAATATGAGACCCACTCACCCCAAATACACACCCATAGGATGGGACAGTACTACTATTCCTGCTACAACACCATTTATAGTGGCTGGACACATGAAGGGCCAACTGTGCTATGTCCTCTTCTGAAGGAACCGTTCTTTAAAAAAAAAAAAAAGGAATGTTGCTTCAGCTATGCGGTAGCTGAGATGTGGGATCAGAAGACTTGCAAGTTTAAGAAACCAGTATTGTGTAAGCTTCTTAAATGTTCAACTGACAAACCACTGCAAATATTTGTTGCTTTTAGGCTAAAGTGCACAGGGCTACCCACACTGCAGAACTGACCAGTGGTGTAACCCACTAAGCACTGCCACCACACAACTGCCTTTGGTTCAGTCAGGCTTGTACAGCATTCCAACGCAAGGCTACATAGATCTAGTGGCTACCAGGCCATTATTCCCTTTGTCGCCATGTTACTCTCCTTTATGTGATAAGAAAAAATGAATACAAATTTTGTTGCAAATCTTTTGACCTTTCAACTGCATGCAAAGAGTAACAGCATCACTTTTCTCTGACAAAGAGAATCCTTAAATATCCCAGTATGAAAATATAACTTAAATATAAAAGTTGAACAGGGTAGAGAACATTTGGAAGAAAACAAAAATGTTTGTTCTGCCTATTAGTTCCATAGGTATTTTAAGAAATAAACCCATACATAATCTTAAATTACAATGTGTGTTCATAAAACTATTCTGTTCTAGGAATAAGTTGCAAAAAGCCAGTTTTAGTAATAAAACATACTGATTCAAATTTTGTTAATCCTGATGTCTCTTTCCAAATCTCTTTAACTGCCTGATTCAGGAGCCAGGGCTGAAACGGTGATGTTCCATGGTTTCTTCTGAACGGTCATATCCAAATCCCATTGTTGCCCAGTATTTTCCCACACCTGGTAAGACTTGCATATTTGGTCAGTGTTTCCATAGTGCAACTGAACAGGTACATTGTTTAACCTTCTGCATTCTGTTTACAGATCTTTCTTGAATCAGTTTCCAGGCAATAGGCATATTGATGCAAAGTGAAAATCCACTGACCATGGAAAATCCTGTCATAAAAACCTGCAATTTTACAGGCTACAGAATCTGTCATACAGGCAGACCAAATCGATGCTTCTTTTTCTTAATAGACTTTAAATTCGTAAGTCTTCGAAGATCTTCTTCAACATCAGACTCTTCCATTTCATCATCTGCTGAAATAAGGATCTAGGGAAAG